AGTGCAGCCCCCCCAGAGCGAGCACCCTGGTGCCACGGGGGGCTGCCAAGTCGGGGAGGGGTGAGGGCCCTGGCCAGGGCCCCCCCTGGCCCCATTCCTCGAGGGAGTGCCTCTTTCCATTACCTTTCACCCACATCCCCCAAAAAGGGCTCAGGGGAAGGGGTGACAAAGACAGGGGAGGTGACTTGGCCACCCGCAGGAATGTCCCACCCCGAGGCCCAGTGTGCCTCAGTTTCCCCAGAGAGCATCACCCCAAGGTCTGTGTGCCTGAGTTTCCCCAGGGGTCTTGCTCCCCTCCAGGTGCTGTTCACTGCCCACTGCCCAAAAACGAGGGCTGCACCCCAGGGATGCTGCCTCAATCCCCTGCGCTCCCAATTAACGCATTCCTAGTTAACGAGCTCCCAGTTAACGAGAGCCAGCGCCCACAACACCCAGCACCGCTGCAGGACAGGGCCCAGCACCTTGGGGACCAGGTGGTGCCACCCCCGAGGTGACCTTGTCCCTATCACCATAGCCCCCCTCCCCATCCCTCCCTCTCCAAGGCCAAGCAGCTCCACAACCATTTCAATTCAGATCTTTATTAAAAAGACAGCCCCACAGGGGCACGTGGATCAGCAGTACAAAACATAGACAAATTGCCCTTTTCCCCCATTTCTCCCCCCAAAACCCCCATACAAAACAGTAGAAAAGTTAACAATGAACCGGGTCTGCAAGGACGGGGGGCGCGGGTGAGGGTCCTAGGGCTCCTCTACTCCCTGGTTCCCTGGGACACTTTGGTCAGGACGGCGCAAGGGGACGGGGATTTGGATGGGACGGGGGTGCTGGCACCCAGGAGATCCCAAAAACACCCCAAATCGGTGCCACAGCTACAACCACGGACAAATGGCCCTGGCGCGGAGCTTCCCGCAGGCGCTCGGGGCCCACGGCACCCCTCGGAGCGGGGCTGGACGGAGGCAAGTGGGATCGAAGGCATCGCGATGGCAATTCCTGACTTCTTTTTTTGTTTTTTAAAGTCTTTTTCAGCTGGAATCTGCTTCTCCTCATGGGTTGTTCGAGGTCTTCACATCCCCCTGCTGCACCTCGACATTGTCAGTCTCCACCTCAGCAGTTTGGGGGTGTTTTCAGCAAGGTCCAAGCCCACCCCGCACCAGCTCCTCGGTGCAGACCCCTCCACTTCACCGGGGTCCTCTTTTGCGGCTGCCCCATCTGCATCGGGGGCTTCTGAACCGCGCAGGCGCCCATCACGGCGGATTCAGTCCAAAAAAGCCACGGGAGAGTCACCGTGGGCCAGGCGCTCACTGGACGTTGTTGTTGGCCACACAGGGGTCCACCTGGGAGAGAAAGCCAAGATCATTTAGACACTTGAACAGATTTAAACCCGAACCTAAACCTCAAAAATTGGTTCCACCGGTGCCATTTCTCACCTCAGTGTAGGTGGGCGGTGGCATGAACTTGAACTCGGGGGCGTACATGAAGATGGGGCTGTCGAAGCCGTCCGTGTCCTCCAGGAGCGGCGTGGTGGGGCTCTCCAGGCGGTGGTCTTCAGGAACAATGTCCAGGTAGCACGGGGGTGCTGCAAAGGAAGAGAGGGACCGTGAGATCCATGAGGTTCTCCCCCCCATCACACCCCACCATAGCCCAAAAAAGCCTGTGGGGGTCACAGCGGTCCCCTTGCTCACCTTCTGGGGCATCAGGGAGGTTGAGGTCCACCCAGCTCATCTCGGAGCTCATCTGGCTGGCCATGCTGGAGCTGGAGTCACGGCTGGC